CCCCCCCCCCCCCATCGGGGCTTGCGTAAGTGTTTGCTGCGATGGCACAGATAACCCCTGCACACAGGTCCCCGGGCGGTGGTGCTGGCACTGCCAGGAGGGGGGCCACGGCAGGGCTGACACATGGGACCCCGAGGCAGCAGTGGAAGGCTGCTCCTTCCTTCTTCCTGCTCGGCGGCGAGCCAACCCCTGCCAGGGGTTATCAGCCGTGCGGCCAAGCATGGCAGGGACCCGGCAGCAAACAGGGGTGCATAGGGGGTGCAGGGCTCAGAGCTGACCCACCCCTCCCGGTGGTGCTGGCGACCCCCCCTCCCCGATTGCCATCCCAGGGCCTTTGGGTCAGGTGACTTTGCAGCCCACTGAGTGCTCCCCAGGATTTGGGCACCCCAACTTTGGGGTGTCAACCATGGGGTCACACTAGGAAGAGCCTTAAAACTTCCCATGGTGAAATAGGTGCCCCTCAGTATCAGTGGGTCCCCGGGACTGGGACGTGGCCACCTCTGTGGCAGGCTGTGGGAACACAGAGCATTGGTGCCCCAGGCAGGGCACGTGGCTTCCCCGTCCCCCCCAGCCAGGGGAGTGCGCACTGGTGGAGCCACCCTGTTGTGTCGCTTCCTTGGGACAAGGAGAGCTGCAGCCCTGTGTCACCGAGGAAGCACCATGGGGTGCCACGGTCAGGGGCTGCTCTGGAGCTGGGTGCTGTGGGGGCTCTGGTTGCTGCCAGGTAAGTGCTGGGGTCACCTGCACTGCTTCTAGGTTGACTAGGTGGCCAGTACAGTCTGGGTGATGGGTGGTGGGCTGGGAACAACTCTCTAGCTGCTCAAATGCTGCATGTTCAAGTCCAAACGCCCAGCCAGGGTTTGCCCCATCCACAGCCTCGGCACAATGCCTTGATTGCAGCAGGGGAAGGGGTTGGGGGTTTATGGGTCAGATGGGGACTCTCACCCATGGGAAGGGTACCTGTCTTGCTCTCAGTGTTGGTCCAACTGTGGGTGCTGGGGTGGGGACCAGCCCCAAGGGCTGGAGGCACCTTTGTCCCACAGCAGGGAGAGGGATGTGGGTGATGGGAACCCTGGGCTGTTTTTTCCCTCATCCTGCCCTCACCTACCTGCTCTGCCGCCAGCACAAGCTGGGGAGATGGGGGAGCAGCCCCTTGCCCTTGTGCCGGCCCCAGCAGACCCGGGCAGTGTCTCCTCCGTGGCCGACAGCACCAGCTCTGAGCTGCCTCCAGACGTGGGCATGTGCCAGGTGTTCCCCACTACTGCAGCCACCCCGTCGGAGCACCCCTCTGCCGCCGGCCGGACCATCGCCTCCGCGGGCAGCCGCGGCTCAGGTAAGGCCAGCAGGCAGCTGGCTGCGGGCAGGTTCTTGCCTGCTGGGGCCGCGGCAGGGTCGATCCAGCTGGGGCCACCTTGTCTCACCCCGCAGGCAGCCTGGTGCCGCAGGTGACGGCGAGGGCTCTGGACCCTGCCAGGACCCCTGGTGAGCAGGGGGGGCCTCCCAGCTCTGCAGCTCTCCCTGGGGGTCTGGCAACAAAAGGCAGCCCCCGGGCAGGGGCAGGGTCTGGGGTCTCATCTCTAGCTGCCACCAGCCACCTGACCAGCGTCCCTACAGCTCCTACTGCCACTAAGCACAGGCAGCTTCTGTCCCTGGCACCAACGGGGCACACGGTGGGTCCTGGCACAGGCAATGGTGGTGCTGGGCCAGTCACTGCCACATCATCCCCAGCTCCAGGTGTTCCCACTGTAATGGGAACAAACAAACAACTATCAAACAGCAGCACTGCTCCCAAGCAGGCTCTGGACACCATCCCTGGAGAGCCAGTCCTGAGAACAACTGTCCACATGCAAGAGGGCACTGTGGCTGAGCCACCCATGGGTGCTGCCGGTGCACTGAGAGGTGCTCCCCCAGCACCAGGCGGAGGTCAGTCCCCATCAGTGGCACAAGTCATGACTCTTCAGCCAGCATCAGGCACAACAGCATCTTCCTCAGTCACTAGCAAATTGATTGATGCCAATGAGTTGGTGCAGATGGTTGCTGCGGAGAGGACACCAGGGACAGTGTGGACCACAGTGCCATCCCTCCCTCAGGATGAACACAGCATGGGGATGTCACCCCCCAGCACCAGCAAGAGTTCTGCTGACCCACACACAGCTGCTGTGCTCCTGTCCCAGGAGGTCACACCGGCGCTGGACAAGGCCACCTCACCTCCAGCCGCAGCAGCCGCCATCTCTCAGGACACAGACAACCCTGTGAAGCCGGCAGCAGCCTCAGCCTATCCTGTCACTGGCCTCCCCGGGGGTCCCCCACATGCAGCCACAGAGGGATCCAGGACAGAGGCCTCACCCTCTGCAGACCCCACAGGTGCATCCTCAGCAAAGATCACCTTTTCTTCCACCACCATTGCCATCGGCGAGGCTATGCAGCCAGGGACGCGTGCCTTATCCAATGCTGACCACAACACCTTGCAGGACTCCCCTGTACCCCCTGCTCAGACGCCTCCAGCCCTTTCTCCCTGGTTCCCCAGTGGTGCTGTGCCAGGCACAGAACAGACGCCTGCCCCCAGTCACAGTGTGGCCCCTGGTGCTGCTGGAGATGGGATCCCTGGAGCCAGCACTGTCACCCGTCCCCAGGTCACCGCATTAGCTTCTGGCACACCGGCTACAGCGATGGATGTCACTGCTGCAGAACCCATCCCCACCGTGGCATTCCCAGCTCTGGGAAGCACCAGCACTGAGCTGGTGTCTGTCAGGAGTGAGCCCAGAGCCACAGCAGGCACCACTTCACCAGAGACCTTGGTGGGGCTCAGCATGAGGCTGTCCCCACATGCAGCTCCCAATGGCCCTGGAGGTCCCTCTCTGGGGTCCTTTGTGCACTCTGCAGCATCTCTGCTCACCCAGACCCCCTCAGCAAACTCTGGGGCCACCACGGCAGAATCTGCTTCAGGCCCACACCCTGCAGCCAGACCCAGCACGGCCACGTCCTTGTCCCTCACGGTTGCTGGTGGATCAAAGCCAGACAAGGCCCCTCAAGACACTGCTACATCTTCCTTTGGTGTGTATGGCATCGGGACTGGGCCTGCTGCTCCTCCATCCCCCCTCATTACCAGCACTCCGATTAATGAAGCAGGGATGGGAACAGCATCACTGCCCAGTGGCAATGTCACCACAATGCTGCAGGACACCGGAGCCACACCAGCTCTGCCTGATGCATCTGCAAGCCGCAGCCAGCCAGGTCCCATGGTGAGCTTAGCACCCCCGGGAACCAGTGTTACCCCTGGACCTGCACCAGCCCCACCACTTCAGGCTGGGCCCCAACATGGGACAACGTCAGAGGCAGAGACATGGTCACCCAGCGCCGCACCAGGCATGGCTGAGTCAGGCACCTCAGGGGTACCCAGAGCAGCCAGTGTGCCCATGGCATTCCAAGCAGGCATCCCCCCTCTCCTGGAAAGCAATGCCACTGCAGGGATGGCTCTGGGGGTGTCCCCATCCAGCATCTCCCAAGAGATGGCAGCCAGCATGTCCCCATTGACCCCGGCCACGCCCCTGCCAGCAACGGGTGTTTCAGGTGACCCCCACTCCAATGGCAGCACCACAGAGCGAGCAGTGGGAATGGCATCCCTGGAGGTGGACACGGAGGAGAACCCAGGTGCCAGTGCAGCGGGGCCAATTCCCAGCCACACGTTCGTCACTGCCAGGCCACCTGCCCAAGGGACTGATGCTCGCGAAACCAGGCACCCAGCAGATCTGCCTCTTCTGGCTCCCAGGGAGAGTCGCTCGGCCCTGCCAGCTGTGGCTAACCCCAGCCCAACACCGGCCACAACCAGCCCCCTCCCCAGGGCCACCACTGGCAAGACGCCCCAGCCTGTGACACTGCTGCCCCCTGAAAATGCAGCTGTGGAAAGAGACGGGGGCAGGTCTCAGTTGGCAGGAGATGGCAGCACCACCCAGGCAGCTCCAGGCTCAGCTCTGGTTGAGAACACAAAGATGGGGGCTGTTACAGGTACCTCTCCCAGCAGTGACACCGTCCTGCGAACAACCACACTGGCATCACCCCCCACCACAGCCAGCATCACTGCTCGGCCAAGGGCAGGTGCATCAGACCACAGCTATCGCAGTGCTGAGCCCACCGCAGACACGGGCATGGACCTGGACACGGACATGGCTTCTCCCATCACAGGGAATGAGACTGCGGGGCTGCCCCTGGGGCAGCCCACTCCTATGGCTGGGGTGGCAGAGCCAGGCTCAGGTGATGCCACCCCCTTGGCACACTCTGCCCTGGGCAGTAAAAGCCATGTGGCAGTGGCCATCATGGGCACGGTGTCACCCACAGATCCAGTGTCGGTCATAGCATCTTCCTCTGGCCTCACTCACAGCACTGATGAGCCAAATGACAGTGTGTCCCCTTCTGTGCCCGGGAACACCCATCCAGTGGTGCTGGCACCGTCTGTCACCCCCATCATCACTGCCACTGATACAGCAGCGGAACCAGGCGACGCCAGTCTCGACAGGGTCACAACACCCCCCTCTGCTGTGCTCAGCAGTGCCTCTGCTCCACACAGCCCTCGTGTCACCCTGAGGCCATCTCCTGGGGCCACCAATACCACCCATGACCCATCTTCGAGGGCTCTCAGCCCAGTTTCTGAGGAAAAGCCCATGGCTGAGGCCTCCTTGCTGGCTGTTGGCCATACACACACATGGGAAACCACAGCCCTCTCCCAGTCAGGTGCTGGGGGTACCACCGCCTGGGTGGACACCACCCGCTCTGAGGGCAGTGCTGAGGGTGCGGCACCCCCAGCCAGCACCAACAGCACCCATGTGCCTGCCTCCAACACTGCTGGCACGAACCCAGCCACCACGAGAGGCACCAGCCTGTTCCCCAGCAGCACCATCCCACCAGCCACCTCAGCCGGCGGGGAGACCTTCATGCTGACCAGAGCCACTGCAGCTGTGTCGTCTGCCACAGCGAAGGCCACCAGCACCAGCAATGCCCCCTCCCTCGTTGTGACACACGAGGAGGCAGGCGGAGGTGGGCAACCTGTCCTATCCCCAGCAGCGCGTACCCCATCGGTAGAGACGACTGCGGGGTCCTGGGCTGTGCTCGGTCCCAGCCCTGCTGTCACGGTGCCCGATTCACCCCTCCCCAGCCTGGACAGACCAGCAGAGGAGCCAGCAGCAGTCCCCTCATCCCTGCTGGGTGTTGGTGCAACTGGGGAGCCGGCAGACAGACAGACACCCCCGGAGCTGGCAACAGACGTCACTTCTCACAGAGCCGTCAGCAACCGTGCCATGGGACCGTCAGTGAGCACATCACCTCCTGGATTCTGGACATCTCTGGGGGAACCTGCCTTGGGGGAGAAAACAGTCATCACTGCGGGCAGCACCACAGGCATCACTGCAGGCAGCAATGCAGCCATCACTGCAGGCAGCAACGCAGCCATCGCAGCTGGCAGCACCACAGGCATCACTGCAGGCAGCACCACAGGCATTGCTGCAGGCAGCACCACAGGCATTGCTGCAGGCAGCAACGCAGCTATCACTGCAGGCAGCACCGCAGCCATCGCAGCTGGCAGCACCACAGGCATCGCTGCAGGCATCACCACAGGCATCACTGCAGGCAGCACCACAGGCAGCACCGCAGCCATCACTGCAGGCAGCACCACAGGCATCACAGCAGGCAGCACCACAGGCATCACTGCAGGCAGCACCGCAGGCATCACACCAGGCAGCACCACAGACATCACTGCAGGCAGCACCACAGGCATCACTGCAGGCAGCACCACAGGCATCACTGCAGGCAGCACCACAGGCATCACTGCAGGCAGCAACACAGCCATCGCTGCAGGCAGCACCACAGGCATCACACCAGGCATCACTGCAGGCAGCACCGTGGCTGTTGCACGCACAGCCCCAGTGAGCCCAGCCAAGGAGGCAGGAGGCCTCCTGGCCCGAGGCACCACATCACCAGGGAGACCACCAGCCACCACCAGCCCTGCCATGGCTTCTGCTTTTGGGACACAGAGGGGACCAGCCACAACACCCAGCATGTCTGCCCACACCACTGCTGGCCACACAAGTCCTGCCCCTGAGCCTCCCCCCACCCACGAGCTTATCAGTAAGTAGATTTTCTTCTTCCAAAGCAAAGAGCAGGAAGGTGTTGTCAGCCAACCAAGCACCATGATGACCTCGGCTACAGCCTGGTCCTGGGTGACTCAGCGGCGTTGCACGCTGGGCTGCCAGATTCACAGGGAAAGGTGAAATAGGACATCTGAGAGCATCCTATTTCAAGTTAAAAGCTGGGTTAAAAATTGGGTTACAAGCCTTCAGAGTGCTCTTGCAACCGGGGGAAAGCACAGGCACAGCATCCCAGTGGCAAGCAGGCAAGTTTGCCCTGGCTGCAGGAAGGATGGAGCAAACATCAATGTTTTTTCACCTTTTTGATTAATCTTCTGCCCATATCAGTGCCAGCAGCTTTGCTTTACCCCTTCGGCATGGAGGGAGGGGACCAAGAGTGTGTCCAGAGGACGGTGGATTTTAACTGCCCCCTATTCAAGCCAGAGATTGGGTTCCCTTTCGGAAAGTCACTGCGGGATGCTGTCTACGTGAGTTACCCCCTTACCAAGCACAAAGGAATGTGTAGCCTCTTTGGTAGAAAAAAAACCCACATAAAATGGAGCAGAAACTGAATTTAATCTGAATGTTTTTTTTTTTTTCAATTTAAAATGGCTGGTTTCTGCTCACCCATGGAGGCTAAAAGCCATCCCAGGAGCTGCCGGGGATGTCAGTAAATAATCAGTTATTTTGGTTAGTTTACAGATAACGGACAGATCATTTTCCCACCCACGGACAACTACATCCCCTCCAACCCCAACCCACCTCCCCGGGGCTTCAGTGGCCGAGAGGCTTTGCCAATGGTGGCTGCCTTCTGGGACGATGCAGATTTCTCCCAGGGTATCGGCACCACCTGGTACCAGGTCAGAGCCACTAACAAAGTTCTCCCAGGAGACCCCAACTTCCAACTCACCCATTTAACCCTCTCTCTTGCCAAACGGCAGGAGTACTCCACCCTCAGCTCTACCCGAGACCCTCTTGTCCGTGATGTGGAATCAAAGATTGAGAAACATCTGAAAACCCCCTACGTGGCAAAATGGACCTTGAAGGTGACGTGGGAGAAGGCTCCGGCCTACCCATCCCGGTGGGATGACACTCAGGTGAGCAGTGGGGTACCCAGGTGACAGAGGGGACTGTCACCAACAATGCCCGGGGCAGGGTTGGACTGCTGGTTTCCCATGGCTTGCTGAGGGTGTTTCAGTTCTCACCGCCTCAGTCTGCACTGCAGGGAAATCAGAGGAGGCTTTTGGGGTGCTAAGGGGATGCCTTGGGTTTCTCCAGACGAGCACCTACCAGGCGGTCCTCACCACCGATGGGAACCGTTCCTTTGCTCTGCTGCTCTACCAGGACGGCGGGATGCGCTGGGACTACGCCAAGCTGGCTACGGACAACGTGCTGATTGGCTTCTCCAGGTGCTGTGAACATGTGTGGCTGTGTTTTGGGGCAGCAGGGATTTCTCCCAGCACTATTTTGAGACCATCAGAGATATTATCCCCAGGAGAGTGCAGCTCCCATCTCCAGAGCAACCCTGTCCCATTTAAACCCTCCGTCCTGCAAACTGCAGCAGTTCCCACCCCAGCTGCTCTACAGGGAGCAGAGGAGGGTCGTGTTGGGAGGGTGACCCCAAACCTCTCTCCATACAGCGGCGATGGCTATGCCCAAAATAATGAGCTGACTCAAAAGCCACCAGCTGTCAAGTACCGACCTGACCAGTACAGCAGCGCTGGCACCGGTATGGCACTGGGGAGCCCTCAGGCGGGTGGGGATGGAGGGACCCATGTGCTCCGCACCAGGAGCATGTCCCCAGCACACACCCCTGCAAGGCAATGGGCCAGCGAAGCCACTGGGCAACGCTGACCACTAAGCAGAGCACGGATGTCCCATGTCCTGCTGTGGCTTGCCACAGACACACTGGCTCTAGAGGGAGCCTGGAGACCTCATGTGAGGTCAGTGGCCGGGCACGGTTGTCCCATGGGATCCCCCTCAGCACAAGGCAAGCTGTGCTGTTCTCCGGTTGCTCCTCCAGGTGTGCGTGGGCTGTGGATATACAGGCTGGACACTCACTCCCGGGTGAACTACAGGCTGCGGTGCCTGGTGTGGCTGGATGCAGAGCCAGCACCGGCCACCTGGAACACCCAGCTGCCACCATGCCCCTGCTCCTGGCCCCAGGCAGAGCTGGACCCCCGCTACCGCCAGAGCAGAGGTGCCAAGCACGGCCCCCCAGGGCCAGCTGCAGGGCAGGGGGGTGGAAGGGTGTCCCCTCCTGCTCTGGGGGTGGCCATGATCCCTCCTCACCATTTCAGGCCCATCGGACACCTCCGTGAGGATGCTGCGCACTGCGTCACCCAACCCGGCTGGAGCTGGGGTGCGGTGTCTGTACCGAGATGAGAGCTTGCTTGAAGGCTGGCAGGAGAGAGCATGGAGCCTCCCCATTCACCCTGCCGCTGGTAAGTGGGCACTGGCACTCCTTCACCCTAAAACATCCCGAGCACCGAGTGTTCTGCAGGTGCAGTGGGGACCCTGACACCCCCCCAACTCCCAGCCACCTTCCTCTGCAGATGGGGAGCTGGAAGCATTTGACTGGTGCTGCCAGCGTGTGGAGAAGCCCCTGTTCTGCACCAGGTTTGCTGAGAAGAGACCAAGGGTCAGCTGTGAGGGATATGTGCCACCCACCCCTGGTGAGTCCCCAGGGAGTCCTCCTCTGTGCCAGAGTGCTGAGTGGGTGGCACAGCCATAGGTGGACCCCATATATTAACCACACTGCAGCATCCCAGAGGGGACTGTTGAGCCCAGTGCGGCATCACGGTCATCCTCCATGCAATGACACTAGCACGTGCTTTTCTTCCTCCACCCCAAATGTCTCTGCCTCCTTTGGACCCCAGCTGGTGCCTTCGGGGACCCCCACATCACCACTCTGGATGGACTCACCTACACCTTCAATGGGCTCGGGGATTTTGTCCTGCTGCTGGCCAGCGATGCCCAGACCAGCTTCGTGCTGCATGGGCGCACGGCCCAGACTGGTACAGCCCAGGCCACCAACTTCGTGGCGTTCGCTGCCCAGTACATCTCTGCCATCACCACAACAGTGAGTAAGAGCAACCTGGGTATCAGTTTGAGCTTTTAATGGGAGAGATCCCTCTGGCTGGGCATCACCTCTGCATCACCTACAAGTTGCCTGGACCCAAGGAGCATCCTCAACAAAGTGCTTATAGTGGTGGGTTGGACTAAGACTAATGAGACACAGTTGTAACACCTCTTGCAAGCTGGCCAGCAAGGGCCTGGAGCTCTGCAGGGACATGGTCTGCTCCACCCTCTTCATTGCACACCCTTCATCCAGACCACCAGTCTCCTCCAGACACCTTAACACAAGAACATACTCTTCCTTGCTTTTCAGAATTGCTCCCCACGCCCATTTCAGTAAGCAAAATCTCCTGGTGTCACCAGAAGTAGCCACTGAGCAGCATGATGAGGGGGCTCAGAGCCTAGAGCCCACCAGCACAGCTCTCCATGCTGCCATGGTCAGCCGAGCAACGGTGGTGGCCTGACAGGGGCAGCTGTCCTCTTTTATGCAACCATCAAAGCTGGTTTATCATGTGTTTGCTGGGGTGAAGAGCATGTCACCATGACCCCTGGGGCTGGGCCTCTCTGCCTGGACTGGAAGAGGATGGGGTTTAGCTTGAGTGTCTCCAGTATGGGGGTACAGCAAGAAGGGACGAGCAGAAGGGCTGACTGGGACATCCACCATGATTTGCAGGTTGAGTGGACCTTGGGGAGCCCAGGTGACATCCAAGTCCTCCTGAACAATGAAACCATCCAGTTTTCCTATTCCCAAGGTGAGCAGGATGTGCTGTTAAATGTATCTGGAGGGGACAAGGGGTGTTACCACTCCATAGGGACCAGCACTGCCCAGCGTGAGGGCAGACACCCTGAGTTCCATCGCACATCTCCTGCCTGCACCCACCCTGTCTCTGACTCAGCCAGAGTGGATGGGGAGCGCTCCTCTCCCTAAACTCAGGGGCATTGTTTCAAAACTCAGCCTTGCTTGTGCTCTCCTCTTCCAGACATGGGTGCTGAGGTGTACTACAGCCCTGGTATCCTGCTGGTCAATGTCTCCTCCATCACGGCCATCTTTGACGGGGCCATCGCTGTCTCCATCTCAGCCACCTCCGGGATCCTCAGCATGGTCTGCAGCCTTCCCGATCGATACCACAACAGCACCAAGGGCCTCCTGGGTGAGGACTTCTGACATCGCTGCAGAGCTGGGCTGCCAAGTCCCCTTCCCACTCTAAAGCAGACTGGAAAATGCTGGGGGAACATGCTTATGAGGGCAGGGACCCCTGAGTCTAAACTAAACACTGGCCAGCACCAGAGGGAGGTCAGCCCCAGCATAGGGGACGACTCCAGTCCTCTGGTGATGCTCCACCAGGTGTGTGGGACCACGACCCCGCAGATGACTTCCAGATGCCAAATGGTACCAGCATCCCTGTGAACAGCAGCGAGGAGGAGATCTACAGCTACGGGATGACCTGTATGTCCAGGCTCAGGCTCCACATTGATGATCCCCTAGTTCCTACACCTGGCTATTCTTTGGCTGGAGACAGTTAGACACTTACCTGAGCAAAATGATGCCAGGGAAGCCCTTTGGCTCCTCACTGCTTCATGGAAATGAGCCTTACAATATAACAAACCTTAAAAACCCAAGGCTTTCCCCACGGTGTGCTCTCTTGCAGGGGCTGTTGCAAAGCAAAGTCTGTTTGCTCACTCTCTGGACTCACCAATAATGAACTTCACACCCATCTTCTTGTCTCGGCTGCGGCAGGAGAATGAAAGCCAGTACCAGCTGGCAGCCTTGCAGTGCCACGGCAGCAAGGAGTGCATCTATGATTCTCTGAGCACAGGCGACATGGCCCTGGGCCTGGCCACGCAGAGCCTCACGGCTGACTTCCAGCAGAAGAAGACAATACTCAGTAAGTGGAGCAGATCCTCACCTCTGAGGGGGCATGGTTTGGGTAACCAGGCAGCACCCTGCTCCCTCCCTGGGCTCTCTTGCTCCATGTGAGGCAGGAGAACAGACACCAAGGTCTCGGAGTTGCACTGCCCAGCTGGCTGCTCTCCAAGCCTGGGAGATGCCATCACGCTGTGCAACACAAGGGACTTGTTGGTGGGCAGTCACAGCAGCATCTGCCTGGGGTCCCATCTTCACCCGGAGAGATTCACAGCCAAGGGGTGTCAGGGCCACATAGCAAACCACTAGCTGTGTGCTCTGCTGCTCTTTCCTCAGATGCCTTCCCTCCTGTCATCACCGGTGACACGTCGCTCACAGCCTTCAGGACAGAAAGGGTCAGGAGGCAGTACCATGCCATGGGGGTGGGCGCACGCTTTGTCCCTCACATCTCGCAAGAGCTCAACATATCTGGTAAGGAAGGAGAGATGGGGCAGCTGGGATGGGGACACATTGGCCACCCAGCCCCTTTTCTCTGCCACCTCCTCTAACTCCCACTTCTCGTCCTGGCAGAGAGCGGCACCCTGACGTGGGAGCCCCACAGCACGGCCCCACTCACCATCAGCCTGGAGGCTGTTGGGTCCAACAACCTCTCTGCCCTCCTTCAGCTCCGCTTCACTCTTTGCAGCTGCAGCAGGAGCCAGGAGTGTGATTACAGCGACACCGTCATCCTCGGGGGGTCCTCCCTGCAGGTAGTGTGCTGGAAGTGTCCAGTGACACACCGTGCCTGTCCCCAGGCCAGTTGCACTGGCTATCTTGTCTGTACACACACACCCTCCTCGTGTCCCCTAAGCCAGTGTCCCCATCCCCTTCCCAGCTGGCAGCCTGCAGGTGTGAGGGCGGCTACTCGGGTCCCTTCTGCCAGGACCCTCCGGACCCCTGCACCCAGGGATGCTTCCCCGGCGTGGGCTGCGACTCGCATGCCGGCTGTGGCCCCTGTCCGGCTGGCCTGACTGGTGACGGGCGGCACTGCTCAGGTGACAAGGGCTTCTTATGGCCACCGGGAATCTGGGGTGCCTGCGGGCCTCTGGCCCAGGTATTTCTCCCGGTGCCATGCTGCATTGCCTCAGCAGATATCGATGAGTGCACGCAGGGGACGGTGTGCCCAGGGAACACCACCTGCACCAACACGGTGGGCAGCTTTGTCTGCTCCTGCCCAGCCAGTGAGGAGGGTGAGTATGGGCACCCTGGTGTGCATGGTCCTCGTCCCTGTCACCCCCCGGCTCTCAGTGGAAGAGGGGTCCCATGGGAACCAGCTTGGCCAGAGAGGTGAGGATTGGAGGGGGAGCTGGCTGAGCTCTGTACCCCAACCCTTGCTGTTCTTAACAGAAGGGACCAGAGTCCAGCCACCGCTCCTGCTACCAGGCTGCAGATCTCACCTCGAAGGGAAACTTTTCTGGTGCATTCTCTTTGAGAAAAAAAAAAAAAAAAAAAAAAAGAAGGGATGGTCTCGGGGAGGGGGATGCACTGGCACACCAGGCAAAATGGCAGCTTGAGGTGCCCATGCATCCCTCTCCTGAGGGATCCCCGGGGATCCAGCGGATCCGCAGGGCCAGAGGGAGGCAGCACCAGCTGCATGATGCCAGCTGCGGCCATGGCCATGTGCCAGGTCCCCAGCACATGAACAAAAGGCCAGAGCAGACCTTGGGGCTTGGCCATGATGCCCATGTTGCTTTTCAACCTCCCCCCATATTGGTGCCATCCTACCCTCCCCTAATGCCCTCCCACTCCCCCTGCCACAGGTCTCAGCCACCTTGGACTCCCTGGAGGTAAAGGCTTTCCAGAGCAACACCAACATCACCCAGATGTGAGTCGGTTGTGGAATGGCCCCGTGCCTACCCCAGGGAGCTAGCGGGGCAGGGCTGGGCATGGGGCTGCAGGGTTTGGAACACAAAGGGCGTTTTCCTCCACCCGAGTCTTTTTTACCAGCCCTGATGCTGAAAAACCCTTGGAGACACAAGCTTCTTGGTATCTTCCATCTCCTGCCTCATCCCTTCTTTACCACTCCCCGAATGGGGAAACTGAGACATGATGAGGTTCAGTCACTCTGTGATGTGGCAGTGGCTCTGCCATCAGACCTGTCTTTTCCCCACAGGACAGACAACGATGGCTTCACCTTTGTGGTGGTGTCTGAGTTTGCCTATGACAGCCGTGGCACAGTCATCCAGTTCCTGAACAAGGAGCTGCTGGGGGCCATCACTGATGCCTTCAACAAGCAGCGCAGGCAGCGGGAGGCAGGCACACGCCTCCCCTTCCAGCACCTGCACCGGAACAATGTCACTGACCTGGTGAAGTGTGAGTTGCTCCCAGCACTGAGCTGGGGAGCCCAGGAGGAACACCCCACTGTCCCCATTGTCCCCATCATCCTGCATGCCCTGGGGTTTGGGTAGCACCTGCAGGATAGGAGGGTGCGTGGCAATCCTACCCCAGGCATGGATCCAGCTCAGGGAGTCCTGGGGAAGCATCAAGGGGTGATGCTGCTGTGTGGCTGAACACATGCCTTCCCTCCCCAGTGACAGTGGCTGAGCTGAGGCGCTATTTTCCATGCAGTCTGTACAGCTACAAAGGCTACCAGCTCCACTATGTGGGGACCATTGGTTTCGTCTGCATCTCCCCTTGCAAGACGGGCTACTGCCAGCACAGCGGCCGGTGCCAGCACCTGCCTGAGGGGCCCACATGCAGGTAGCAGTGGTGCCAGGGGCAGATGAGGCCACCCAGCATGGCTGCTTCTCCCCACAGCATCACCGCTCCTCTCTCCCCATCCGCAGCTGCCTCCCCTTCTCCATCTTCTCACCTGCCGGTGCCCGGTGCGAGCGGCTGGCTATCAGCCTCACCGCCTTCATCGGCATCTTGCTGGGAGCCCTGGCTCTGCTCTGCCTCCTGCTCGCCACTGCCTGCCTGGCCTTGCACCTCTGCCGCCAGCACCGCCGCCAGCACCGAGGGTGAGCCATGGGCTGGGCCCGCGCCAGGGTGGGTGCTGTGGGTGCGGCAGGAAAGGAGGTTGGGTGTCAGGAAAGAAAACTGGTGGGAAATCCATCTCTGGAAGATCCATCACTGGTGGGACCCATCCGCCCCGGGCAAGGGGAGCCTGCCCTGGGGAAGGGACTGGGCTGGGTGGTCTTTTAATATCTTCCAGCCCCTTTCCCAGTCATCTGCTGCTCAGGGGTGTGATAACATCAGTGGGTTGAACATTAGCTTCCCTTTTTCCCCCATGTCAGGGAATATTTGCATTTCTTCCTCACCCCACCCAGTGGTTGATTACAGATGGGCTTTCTATTTAATTTTAATTTGAATACCATCCAAATTATTTCCACTGGAATTCACGTTGGTCTGGAGCAAGCAAAAGGTGGTTGCAGGATTGGACCTTGCTCTCCTGCAGATCAGGGAGTTAGCAGATGGCTGACGAGGTGCAAGGCTGGGGTGGAAGCTCCAGTACCTCCTTCCCTCCTCCCTAGCCCTTGGTCCCAGCATGGCATCCACACTCAGGGGGAGCTCAGTGCCCCAAGCCCCCCACGCCGGCTGGAGCTGTGTCCTGCCCCTGCTGCGGCTCCCTGCCTGCCCTGGAGCTGGGGCTCTCTGGGAAGTGCCTCTTCATTTGCACTTGTGGCAAGGAGATAAATAGTGTGTGCACAACAACTGGGGCTTTTCCTCCTCTCATAGGCCCATCTTGCTCCCACACTCAGTCACTGTTTCCCTCTGCCACCCAACCCAGACACCAGGAGCAGGCAAGGGATCTCCCAGCCCCTCCTGACTTGTCATGCCCTTCCTGCTCCCTCCCCCCCAGGGCTAAGGAGACCTTCTGGAGGCCACGGACCTTCTCCTGTGAGTACATCCCTGCAAAACCCAACCTCACCCCAGCTCTGCTTCACCCGAGTCGTCTTCAAGCTCTGCTCATCTTCCCCACTCCAGCTCTGATGATGGCAGGGGAGCGAACAGAGCCCACCCACTCCCCAGAAAGGCGTTGGGAACCCCAGCTCCAGGCCATCGACCCCTCAGTCCAGGTCTGCCCAGCGGTTATTTTCCCTATGGGGGGGTCATGGGCTGGGGACTGATGTCCTGGCCCTGTGCCTCAAAGATGTTTGGGAGTCGTGCCTTGTCCTGGAGCATCAGGGATGCTTTGGCTGGTGTTGGGGTCTGCGCTGCTGCCTGAGCTTGTAGCAAAGAGCAGAGCCCATGCAGCACCAACAGCACGGTGTGGCCTCTCCTTCCTTTACAGATAAGGATCCAGAGACCCCTCGTCAGGCCTCCGAGCCAGCCCCCCCAGCAGCCCTAGCCTGCCACCAGTCCTGCCCCAGCACCTCCAGGAGTGAGGAGCCAGCCGCTGCTGCTGGCCCCGGGAATGCCACCTGTGTGGAGGCAGAGGGCGGGCAGCTGCCTTTAGGGGTCTGGTCTTTGTGGGAGAATTCAATCTGGAGGAGGTGGGTTTTTTCTGAACAAAAAAAAAGTGTTTTTTCTATTGGGTGGCCAAAGCAAGAAGATTTCACCTTCCCCTGAGGACCTGCAGAGGCAACTGGGATAGTCCTTGAGTGTGTCTGCACCGGGGTATGCCTTAGTACAATGTAACTGGACCTGGCCGAGCCACTGACAGAAGAGTCAGGTGGGGCAATGCAGTGATTATAACCCATCAGCAACAAAATAGAATAAAACAAAAATTGCATCATGCTGCCGAGTAAATTGCCTGCATCCCCTGGTGCCCATGCACCAGCCCTGCTTCCCTGCTGATGACCTCTCGAGTCCCTGGTTTCTACTGGTCCCATCCACAAGGCCAGAGAGAAGATGGACGTAGTTTCTGTTGCTGCATCCCCTCTTTTCCCCTGCAAAGCCGTAAGTCTCCCTCACTGCTCTCCCCAGGCACCACTCACAGTGGCTCAGATCACACAAGTTGGCCTGCGATCCCCACAAACCCCCCCAGCCCTTTACCCCTGCTGAGGGAAGATGCTGCACCTAAGGAGGGTGTAGGAGCCCCCGGCAGACCCCCGCTCCAGCCCCGCTGCCCCAGAGCCTGGCTCAACCGCAGCCCAGGCGCTCACATCCCTGGCACCAGCTTGGAGGACAGCAGCATCCTCCAATGCTGCTGTCCCCAGCCTGCCCCCACCACCACCTCCCACCCCAGTTCAGCAGAGGACAGGGCTGCCACAGGATCAGTGATGCTCAGACCCCTTGGAGGCTTTATTGAACAAATAAGATTTGACAAGGACTTTTTTCTTTTTTTTAAGAAAGGCAGATGCTCTCTTACACATAAAAAAAATTACTTTTCTCCGAACATTTCTGATTATGGAGTTGAATTTTGCCCTCACACACCCAGCAAGCAGATGTATCAAGCGGACTCTGGCTTGATCAGTGAAATGCCCTTTCTCCTGGGCACAGGGCCTGGAGACCACCCGTGGAGGGATGGCAGGGGGACAGAAGTGAGGGACAAGACAGGACCGGCTCATGGGACGAGCCTGGCATACTGCAGCATTTGGGGGCTCAGGCACAGCTGACCCATGCAAGGTGAAAAATCCCATTCCCTGGGGGCCAGGGGGACACCCTCACTCCGCCGTGCGGGAGGCAGAGCAGGATGCAGGGAGAACAGGGGGTGGTGGGGCTACCTGCCCACCTCCCCACCAGCAAGGAGGTGCCCATGGGCACCTGCTCAGCTGCAGTTGGGGAAGGGCGACTAAAGCAATTGGTTCCCTGGGACAAGTCTGGGTTAGAAACATGAACTTGTGCCAGTGAAGGCAACTGCAGGCACTGGCTGAGTGAGCTGCTCTGCGTGGTGTGAGTAGGAGTGGTGGGTGGAGTGGGGAGCAGGGGGACACTGGGTATGAGCAGGAGCAAAGGACTCAGAGGATCAGCCGTGCTGCAGGTGTGCAACGCCCCAGTTACTCATCCTCTTCATCTGCAAGGACAAGAAACAAGAGTTGCCCAGCCACCTCTTCCCTGGGGGCCTGGGGCGAGCTAGGAGCCCTGGGGGAGTTTCCATGTGGGGGTAGAGGGAAGTGGCTGGGGGAGAGGAGACCCCCAATTGCACTCACCTCTTTGGTCCTCTGAGTCGTTCTCAGCCTCCTCTGAGGAACCTGCAAGAAAGTCCCACATCAGCTTACATGGATAACCACGTTAGCTGCAGTCCTCCTCCCCTCCTGGTGCTGTCATCCCCAGACTATGCTGGTGTTTATGTGCTAAGGGAGATGCCCCCTACAGCCCCAAACAACCTGCATGTGGGCACCCCAAAACCCATCTCTCCTCTGCCCGGGGGTCTTGCTGCCTTAACCACGGGGTGGCTGAGATGATTCCCCCCACACCCTGGGCACCAAGATGACACTGCCCCGGCCCACACAGGCTGCAAACCCACCCGTGCTGGGTAACTGGTATCCATCACAGCCAATCTTTGGTCTCTTCTTGCCGTAGTGGGAGCAGAGGCGGGTGCTGCCCGCCTGGTTACAGCACCAGTCGTACAACTTCAGCTCCTGGTCTGGTGGAAAAAAAGGAAAGTAAGGGGCTGAAGGGGAGAGGAGAGGGGGACAGCCTGGCTCCAGGCAGGCAGGGTGCTTGCCTCAGCTTTTGGCAGGTCCAAGCTCCCTCCGAGAGCAACAACATGTCAGGAAGGTTGTCATAGAGATTAAAATTATTTACAGGTGATGCCATCCTCAGCCAGGGGATGCCAGGGCTGGCTGTGCTTACCTCGATATGGGGATGCCTGTCTGGAGGACCTCCAGTACCTCTCCTGTCTCCCCTCGATGAGCTGGTTCTGGCTGTCGTACAGGCAGCGGATGCCGGCACCGTGCTGGTTGGGGGAGGCGGAGTGTAGCATGGAGACCCGGGCAGCCCACCACCCTGCAACGGGGCGGCAGTGAGCCTTGGCCCAGCTCTCCCCAGCCAGCAAGAAGCAGGGCCAGGGCTGGCTCCTTGTTGTCCATCCTCCCACCACCTCACCCACAGTGCTATGGGGGTTTAGAGGGGTTGAAGAGACCGTCCAAGTGGTCCCCCAGGGTGCTGGGGAGGATCCATCCCTGCTGTCCCCGTGCAGCTTAGACCAGCTCCGGCCAGCCTAACAAGACAGGGACTGGTCAGCCCTCATTCCTCCATGTTTTCCCTGTCTCTGAAGGGAAGGGCAGCCCGCCCTCAATTTTCCCTGGGGTCACCTGCCCACCTGGTCAGAAGGGACCCCAGCCACCCTTGCCAGGGGACATGGGGAGGGACAGCTTGGGGACAAGGAGAGTGGGGAAGCGACATGTCCACTTGCCTCCCCGGCTGCTCTTGAAGCGTGGGTCCTGCTGCCCTTGCTGCAGGGAGCAAGGGCAGGCAGGCAGCCCCTGGCTCCACACTTGTGGCTCCTGCTGCCGCCCCGTCCACGCCAGGCACTTCAGCCGGTAGTTGACACCCACGCGGTTCTCCAGCTTGTAAATCCACAGCCCACGGAGGTCTGAGCAGGGACAGAAACTGTGAGCTGTCACCTCCAACCAAGGGAACTGCAGGGGCAGTTTTGGCTCGAGGCGAGAACTGAGTGATGCTGTTGCTAGAAGCTAAGCCTGCATTGAGCCCCAGCCATGGGACCCCATGCTTAACAGCCACCCAACAGCAGAGAAACAAGGGGAGAGGCTCTTGCCAAAGAAGAAAGTCTTGGGACAGACCTATTGCAACAAAAATGTCCATAGACACATCAAGGACTTTCAGCCTCACGGCGTAACTAGTACCCAGAGGAAGCATTTTATGTGCTTGGTGGGAAAGCCTGGCCTCGGTGAACTCAGTGAGAGCCTTGCCACTGTGGCAGGCTGGATTTCATCCCCTGAGAACATCCCCCTCCCCACACGGCCCTTCCCTGACTTCCCAGAGGGCTACATAAACCTGCCCCAGCTATGTGGCACTACCTGTGTTGTAGCCCCTGAACTGGTCAGGGCGATACTTAGCAGCTGGAGGTCTCCGAGTCAGGTCATCATTGCGGTAAAAGCCATCCCCACTGCGTGCAGAGAAAAGGGGAAAGATCAGGGGTTGCTCTTCCCAGACGGGGTTATCCCAGCCCCAGCCTCAGCCTGCCCTTCAGCTGCCCTGATGCTGAGCTGGCAGGACTCCCACAGCTCTAAAACAGCAGCTCTGGGGACAGGAGGGCAAAGGCACCAGCTCCCCCACACCACTGCCTCGGCTCTACAGGGTGCAGTTACTTTTGGGTGCTGCAAATGCTCATGCTGCATCATGGGCTGAACCCACAGACATCTCAAGACCCCCTGCAAGCAGCTTCCATGGTTTGCAGCATCTTGCAGGGTGATATGGAGCAGAAACCCATGAGCAGTTGTGCACAGGCAAGCACGTACACACACGCCTGTGCCGCCTGCGCTTCCCGTTCCGGCCACCTTTTCCTTACCCAGCTGCAGCAAGCAGCTAATGAGCAAACCCTGGCGAGATGTAATGTGAGGAGGCAGGAAGCGATTGCTCCAGCCAAGAGACGGAAATCCCTTACCTCGACTAGTGCAAAGTTCAGCAAACATTTCCTATTCTCCACTCCTTCCACCCAAACCACCTGTATGCTGCAGGCCCGGGACCCCAGAGGGATGTGTGGATCTTACAACAAACACAGTCTGGCAAGCCAGCGTGCTGCAGCATGATCCAACCACTAATAGGGCAAACTTGGTTGTGAGGCCCCCCTATGTTAGGCTACATGGGCGTGCAGACCCCAGCTGGGCTGCCCTCATCCTTGCAGGGCACTTCATGGGACACTGGGGGAAGGATGAAACCAGCCAGGGCCGGGGGTGGGACAGCCTGGTGCTCAGAGGAGGCAGGGGCTGTGTGCCGAGAACTGCTGTACCTGGTGTAGCCGATGAGCACGTTGGTGGCAGCAAGCCTGGTATAATCCCATTGCATGCCTCCCTCCTGGTACAGCATCAGGACGTAGGACCTGAAGCCATCGGTGGTCAGGATGGCCTGGTATGTGATCGTCTGGGGAGAAGTGTTGCAGACAGGTAAGAAAGTGAGAGAAGCTGCTGGGTTTAAATTAGGGGTGTGGGTCAGTGCTTGCTGGGGGATGCTGGGGATGAGGTCCTGATGTACAAGGCAAATGCAGCCTGGGCTAATTCACATTCTGCATGGAAAATGTGATGGTTTTACTTTGATGCTGTTCCATGAGAAGCCTCAAATTCGCCCAGTTTTATGCTCCTGGAGAACAGTGTTTCTGGTGCACAATAAACCCCCACCACATGAAAGAGAAAGATTTTACAGAGCAGGGAGAGTTCAACTAAAGATGTCCCCCAAAAAACCTGAAAACCACCAAAACACAGGCAGAGCCCAGTTCTTTTTGGAAAAAGCCTTCAAGACTGACCTTTTGATTCTTATTTTCAGGCACAAAGTGATCGCCCATGGGTCTTGGGGTTTTTTTGACAACTCAACAAGTCTTTGAGCTCCATCAGCCCTTACCCTCCGGGTGTCGGTCCATGCTGTGTAGGCAGGTGCTCTCTCCCAGGTGATTTTCAGGGTCCAGGCCGCAGAATAGGAGGACCTCAGGTAGCGCCGAACCTTCGCTTCCACGTCACGGACAAATGGAGGCTTGGCCGTGTTAAGGGTGAGGAACTCCTGCGGATTGGGTACACCCATGCCTGCATGAGCTCCCAGTAGGGCAAAGACAGGTCTAGACTGGGGTCATGCATAAAGCAGTCCAACTAAGGGCCTGGATGAGATTTGGATGGCTCAAGACACACACGGGACCAACAGCTCTTAGATTTGGCCCAGAAAAGGGAAATGTCACCATCGTTACACATCTCAAAGGGCATCCACAGAATAGGTGATGAACTCGTCATCAAAAGGTGTTTCATGCAACCATGCACCTGGGTGGCTTCACTCACCTGGTAAAAGGTGGTGCCAACACCTCTGGAGAAGTCAGCATTGTCCCAAAACACAGCGATCATGGGAACCTCCTCATGGCCGTTGAAGCCGCTGGGAGGAGGGTTGGGGTACGTGAAGATGTCGTTGTCTGAGGCTGGAAAAATTATTTGTCCGTTGTCTGTAAACTGAGCAGAGGGATCCCTCTATTAGATGAGGACAGGACCAGTGGGATCCCTCCGAACACAGGAGTGGCAGCCTTCCCATTCCCAAGACCGCTTTGAGCAACACCCATGGAAGGCCACCACTGAAATGGCCACAAAGTCACCTGCTGCTGCAAACAGACCCTGGCAGCATCCCAGTTCTTTCACCCCCACAGGGGTTCCATCCCAGACACATGGCCCCTGGTGCCTCCCCCAAGTTTTTTGGGGACAGCCACTTGCCCAACAGCAAGTCAAGCCAAGGTAGACTCACGTAGAGAGAGTTGCGCAGGGTTTTTCCAAATGGGAATCCAGTCTCAGGCTTGAAAAGCGGAGAATTAAAATCCACCCTCCTTTCCACATACTCCCGATCATTTTCCTTCGTTCCATATCCATAGAGGGGCACAGCTGCAACTGGAAAAAAAAACAAAAAAACCCTCAATGCCCAAAACACGCTTATAGCAAAGCCTTTGGTCTATGCCAAAAAGTTAAAAGGCTAAAACTATTTTGCTTCCAAAAGGACACAGCCTGGGCAGCAGGAGGATGGGGAGACACTACCGATAGTCGCCTGGGACACCCTGCATGTTACCTTCCCCTGCAGGGGCTTGCTCCCACCCCTTTTGCTACCTTACATGTACACAGCTACCCTAAACCCACTGCGATGGCCTTTGTCCCCTCCTGCTCCAGCCCTGTTGTGTCACCAAGCTGAAAGACTACTGTTAAGAGAGGAAAACACTGTATAGGATTGTGGTAGGGGGATGGTGGGGAATTAAATACCCACAGCCCTTTCTGGACATGTTTACAGCCTCCAGCTCCCTATTTATATCTGTTAAATAAAACAAAGCATGTGGAGGGGATGGGTTTTCCAGCTGACGGGACCATACTTGAAGGCAAGCTCAGCCTGCCAAAATGCAAACCCATGTGCAGGAGCTCCTCATGGTGTGTCTTCCCTGAGAATCCTGGCCCCAGATAGTTCCCTTGGTCTCTGGGCACCAAATGTCCCCCAGGAGGATCTGTCAGGAGGAGGCCAGAGGTGCTCCTCCTGCCCAGGCTGCCCCAAGAGCATCACATACCTGTGGGGCCAGGCAGTGGGGTCAGGGCGGCCGCCGGCCCTCCTGGCAGAGCTGGAAACACGAGGGACGATGCGCGGGAGGTGACAGTGGCTACTCCTGGCCTGGGGAGCGCTTCCCTGCCTCCAGGGTGGGGGGCTGGTGGGGCCAGGCTGGCGGTGGCTGGGCTGCAGGACACGGCTGGGCGTGCAGTGGTGGGGGGACCCCCCCCAGCTCCCCTCTGACCTGGGAAGGCTGCAGGGAGGCTCAACCCATTGGCAACAGGGGCTCTATTTGCCAGGCTGGTGGTCAGCTTGCCGCCCAAGAATGGCTGCCGGGCAGTGGGTGACGAGCCACCCGCAGGTCCTGGCCCTGGGGTCTTTGACCCAGGGCTGCCAGCAGCGATCCTGGCAGGAGGAAGGCCAGGGAGCCCTGGGGTCTGCCTCGATGGGGAGTGAATGGGGTTCTCCACACCTGCTTCTGCTCCAGCCACTCTGGAAAGGAGCTGAGCCATGTCCCCTCGCTCTGCCATCACTCTGGGGAGCACGGCACTCACTTTCCCAGGCATGAGGCTGCCAGCATCCCTGGAGGGGGCTCTGGGGCTTCCCAGCTGGTGGGGAGGCAGGAGCAGGGCATCCCCCCGTGGTGTGGCAGCCCCCAGCTCACCCGTTCCCCCTGCAGAGGGCCCTCTTATCCACTCACGTGCTGAAAATGGAGCCGCAAGCCCGGGACTGCTGGACACCCCCTCTGCAGCATTTTCTCTCTGTGGA